GTCATGACTAGTTTCTAGTGACAGTTAGTAACTATTTTCAAAATCGAAATTAGTTTATGGACTTATTTAAATTTATACCAGTTTACTTTTATTTAATTTACCTACAATAGTTTAATAAATAATATTTATTAAATATGTGTATATTATTTTATCAAGAAAAACGAAGAAGTAATTCTTTGAATTATTTTACGATGACTTGTAGATATATAGATTTTCCATAAAATAGCCAATTACGGCAAATTCATTTTATTCACATCCAAGTTTTTTATAAACCACACTACCAGCTCTGTGAAATAGGACAAGAAGTTTTTCAAAGAAACGCTTATGACGAATATTCCTATTTGGATATCTTTGAGCATAAGCCCTTGAGGCCAAGAAGCAATTTTCCTCACAAAATAATATCACTAATAACATCTCTATTCGTTCCGCCAGCAGATACTGCTTTATTTTTCTTGATAAAATAATGAATACTTACTTATTAAACTATTGTAGGTAAATTTAAGTAAATTGTTATAAACTATAAATAATAGCGTGTACGAGCGACTTCGTTCGCATCGAATTAATCATTTGTAATGGTAATGATAAAGCAAAGCAATAATTTCCATTAACATACAAACTGAAACAAATTTTTTAACATTTATGTCAGCATGAGAAAAAACAATATGGCGATATTATTATATAACTTGGTAATATTTAAGGGGTAGTTTCATCACGTTGGAATTTCACTTTCGAAAAATCACAATTGCCAAAAATAAGCTTTTTAAGTCAAGCAGTTTAAGCAGAATCGTGGTTAAGAAATTATCAACACCCTGTATGATTTTTTAAAAAATTTCAAATGTAAAAAAACCAAATAAACTATGCTTATCCAAGCGTTTTCCCGAAAGACTAACCGTTTTTAAATAACAAATATTGTAATATTTGAGGGGCGTTTTCACCCTCTTGGAACTTGAGATTCGAGAAACCCCTCCTTATCGAACCTCTACACCCCACAGTCAATCCGTTTGCCAAAAAAGCTTTAAACGTTAATCAGTTTAAGCAGAATCGTGATTACTCACTGGTCATATTTAATGAAACACCCTGCATAAATTTATAAAAAATCTTAAAATATGTAAAACAACAAAATAAAAAATACGTGTTTAAGAGTTTTTACGAAAAACTCACCGGTTTTTAAATAAAAAATATTTTAATATTTGAGGGATAGTTTCACCCCCTTAGAATTCGAGTCAAAAATCCCTTCTTATCGAACCTCGACACCATAAAGTCAATCTGTTTTCCAAAAATCAGCTTTTTACGTCAAACGCTTTAAGCAGGATCGTGATTAATCAATGGCCAGATTTTTCGAAACACCCTGTATACATTTTTAAAAAATCTTAAAATATGTAAAAAAACAAAATAAAATATACGTCTTTAAGCGTTTTTTCGGAAACTTAACCGTTTTTTAAATAAAAAATATTGTAATATTTGAGGGGTGGTTTCACCCTCTTGGAACTGGAATTTCGAAAAATCCCTTCTAATCGAACCTCTA